AGCATCCATAACATTAAAATGTACCCTATTAACTTGACAAAGAATAAGTTTCTCATCATATGTTTTGGTATGATTTAATTTTCACAAATATACAACATCATTTCCCCTATCTCAACAGGGAAGGACTATTTCTTTTATATATATAAAAGACCCTAGACATTTTTCCAATTCAAAATATCCAATTGTTTGATTAATTTGACTCTATAGGCAACAGAACCAATAAATTATTTTTAAAGAACTGACACAAAATTAATATACAGAAATCTGTTGCTTTCTGTACACTAACAATGAACTATCATAAAGAGAAATTAAGAAAACAACCTCATTTATAATCACAACAAAAAGAATAAAATATCTCGGAATAAATTTAACCAAGAAATTGAAAGACCTATAATCAAAAAGCTAGAAGACATTGATGAAAGAAACTGAAGATGATACAAAAAAATGGAAAAGTATCCTGCACTCATGGATTGGAAGAAATAATATTGTTAAAATGTCCATACTACCCAATGCAATGTATAGATTTAATGCAATATCTATCAAATACCAATGACATTTTTCATGGAACTAGAACAAATAATTTTAAAATATATAGAACCACAAAAGATCCTGAAGAGCCAAAACAATATTGAGAAAAAAGAACGAAGCTGAAGGTATCATGCTCCCTGACTTCAGACTATACTACAAAGCTACAGTAGTCAGAAACAGTATGGTACTGGCACAAAAACAGACACATAGCTGAGTAGAGAGCCCAGAAATAAACCCACACACATGTGGTGACCTAATCTATGACAAAGGAGGCAAGAACATACAATGGGGAAAAGACAATCTCTTCAACAAATGATGCTGGGAAAACTGGATAGCTACATGTAAAACAATGAGATTAGAACATTTCCTCACAACATATACAAAAATAAACTCAAAATGGAGATTAAAGACTTAAATGTAAGACTAGAAACCATAAAACTAGAAGAAAACATAGGCAGTACACTCTTTGACATAGGTCTTAGCAATATTTTTTAAATATGTCTACTCAGACAAGGCAAACAAATGCAAAAATAAACAACTCAGACCTAATGAAAGTTAAAAGCTTTTGCACAGTGAATCAAACTACAGACAAAGGAAAAGACAGACTACTGAATGGGAGAAGATATTTGCAAATGATATGTCTGGTAAGGGGTGACTATCCAAAATGAATAAAGAACACATACAATTCAATATAAAAAAATTAAAAATGGACAGAGCACCTGAATAGACATTTCTCCATAGAAGACACACAGCTGGCCAACAGGCACATGAAAATATGCTCAACCTTGCTAATCAGGGAAATGCAAATCAAAACCACCATGAGAGATCATCTCACAACTGTCAGAATGGCTATCATCAAAAAGACAACACATAAATACCCTAGCACACTGGTGGTGGGAGTGTAAATTGGTTCAGCCACTATGGGAAACAGCATGGAGTTTCCACAAAAAATTAAAAATAGAACTACCATATGATCCAGCAATCCCACTTCTGATTATATATCTGAAGAAAACAAAAACACTGATTCAAAAAGATGTATGCACCCCAATGTTCATTATAGCATTATTTACAATTGCCAAGATGTGAAAGCAACTCAACTGCCCACTAACAGATGAATGGATAAAGAAGATGTGGTGTATATACACAATGGCATATTACTCAGCCATAAAAATGAATGAAATTCTGACATTTTCAGCAATGTGGATGGACCTAGAGAATATTATGCTTAATGAAATAAGTCATACAGAGAAGGACAAATACAGTGTATTTTCACTTACATGTGGAATCTAACAAATAAAGCATACAAATGAATAGAACAAAACAGAAATAGACTTACAGATACAGAGAATAAACTAGTGGTTACCAGCGGGGAGAGGGGGAGGTGCAAATTAGGGGAAGGGGTTTAAGAGGTACAAACTATTACATATAAAATAAATAAGATACAAGGATGTAATGTACAGCACAGGAAATAGAGCCAGTATTTTATAACTTTAAGTGGAGTATAATCTATGAAAATAGAGAATCAATGTACACCTGAAGCTAATATAATATTGTAAACCAACTATACTTTAATTTAAAAAATTATTCATCCAGAGAACTTTTGGACATAACTGAGTTTCCTGCAGCTAGAGGCACTTAAACAGCATAACGTTACATAGTAAGTAGATCAGGTATAAAAGGTATTCGTTTTCCAGTTTTCTTTTCTTTCTACTGATTATATCAAGGGCTAAGTTTCAGTATGGAACAAGTATGTCATCACCATCTTTGAGATATGAGCTAATGTTCCTTTATAACAAAGAAAACAGACCTCAGGATAAGCAGATAACAGTATCTACTAGAATTTAATAATGTTGTTTTGCTTAGATTTGCATTTATTTTTTATAATTGTCACCTATTATGGCAAGTGACGCTATTCTGGTTTCCCATTTGTAACAAAAATATAAACTTCCCTTTAGATAACTTTAAGTTGAGAAAGTAAATCAAATTAAAGAAATCGATATTTGGAAAATAGTAATATAGATGGTACTCAGATACAGCCAAATTTGTGCCATGGTAATCTATAAGTGACAAAGGTTAGGGAAATAGAGTTAAAATAATTAATATGTGTAAAAAGTGTTTATTCATTCATTGATTCCATGTTAATTACTGTTAATATTTTCATCCATTCAGTATAGAAATTCCTAAATTTTCAACTCTGTTGTCAGAGTTATTTAAACTCTGTTATTTAACCTAAAGAATATCTTATCAAATAATTTATACAATCTAGTTAGTATTAAAAGACAGAACAAGAGGATTTTTAATAGTGTTAACTTGAAACAGCTTCATGGTTATTTGTTTTATAGGAGTTTGGAGGTACATCAAATACTGCTGTATGACCACAATATGAACCTAGAAGTTCACATTTTAGGAGTACAAAATAGGCAAGATCATATTCTAATACAGCCACTTAGCACTCTAAAATAATAGTTCTCACCCTTTGTTCTGCCATAGCACATGGAAAATGATGTTCACATACTAGATATAGTCCTGGGAGCATACCCAGGTTTTGACAAAATTCTCTCATCTCTGACAATTTTTTTCCAGAGCACTTAGGCAATACAGGACTATAGCTATTGGTTATACATAATGGAAAGAATACTAATTTGCAGAGAAGGTGATCTAAGTGGATGGGGCTGGTACCAGTTGTTTGTGATTTGATAAAGCAACCAATAGTCCAAGTTTACCCGCAACATTTTAAAAAGTATGACTTTTATAATATGCAGAAAAACCATTTTGCATTAAGATGAAGAAAAAAAATTTTTGTTTTACTCGAAAGTGGAATAACTTGTAAGTAGTAACTCAAATTTCCTCATATGCATTACTGTGTTCTACAAGATTAGTTGAAACTAATCACTCCTTTATAGGTAAACTTTAGCATTCACTGACAACACTTAAAATGCTATAGTACATTCTGTTTTAAATTTAAAATATATGAATCAGTAAATTTTTAAAAAGTAGATGGTATAACAAGCTGTAGGTCTAAGAAATATAATATATTACATGTTAACTGTGCTAAATAGTTTGTTTAAATATCCAGAGATCTGATCAATTTTGCTGACATAAAGTCAAGTCTTAAACTAGCTAACTCAGCATACCCTTTAGGAAAAATAATTCTTATTATGAATCACAACTGAACTGCAAATTGCTTACATATGTATGTATTCTGCTATCACTATTATAAAATCAATCAACGACAATCATTTTAACTTCATGATTATGTTATGAACTTACCTTATGCCAAAATAGCAGGAGTAGAGCATGGTCAACATGACAGCTTTAGATATGTTAATAACAAAGCTATTTGTTTTTTGCATCTATGCTGATCGTGACAGATTGGCCCCAAACTGTCAATAACTCTTCCAAAGCAAATTTAATAAATGTGGAGACATGGACTAATATTACAGTAAATCAGTTCACATTTCCTTTGTTCACTATACCTATTAACTCTACAAAAGAATGTGAATTAAGGAAGCCAAAGTGAAAATAACATTAAGCAATAATTCCAAATTAACCAAAGTAGTAAAATAGAACTTTATACTCAAGTCATACACATATGTTAAAAGCACAGTCACTAAGTTTTTTTCCTGAATTGTCCAGGTTTAGTTAAAAACTTTACTGTTACTGTTGAACTTTGGCCCTCTTTAATAGAAATTAGAAATATTAAGGAATACACTCTTTTTTCTCAAACAATTACTATAAACTTTTATGTTTTAAGAATCCATAATTTTTACATTATTAGAGAAACAATGTGATATAACACTGCTTTAATTAAATACAAATACCTAAAGTTATCTGTGTCAGAGTAACGGAGATAGAATAAAAGATATGCTTACTCATATAATATAGGTGTAGAGCTTATAGAAATATGTATGTAAAACAAGGTTACTATTTTTTGTTAGTAGGTATGCACTGTAAGCATCAAAATTCAACTGGCTAACATTCCTACCAAGCAAAAATACAAATTTTAGTAAAACAGCCTATATATTTCATCAAATAAGTGAATACAGAAAGCATTTTGATACTGTTAACATGCCAAGCTAATAATGATGGACAAATAAAACAAGATTCTCTGGCTGACTGTACTAAAGTTACCTTTAGTACCTGACTGTACTAAAGTTACCTGTAACTAAAGTTAACTAAAGTTACTGTACTAAAGTAACTAAAGTTACTGTACTGAAGTTACTGTACTAAAGTTACTAGTTACTGTACTAAAGTTATCACAGCGGGAAGGCTATGGGACTGCCACCCCATCACTAACTCGGCCTCTAGCTCCTTAACCTGGGCCCTGAGCATGAGGGGTGGCACTTTCAGAAGCAGGTAAAGAGGCAGCAAAGCTGAAGAAATAAAAGGGGGAAATATATGAAACTGTAATATGAATTGTGCTGAATTTCAGGGAGGCGTGTATGATGTTATTGCTGCCAACACTAAATTACCTGGCCTTGGTCTTGATCCTATTCCACCTGTGAAGTCTCTGAAAACAGAATTAGAAGGAGTTATTCAACTTGGATTTGACTAACATTTACTGAAAGCTTATACCCCGCTATGGTTTACATAGGAAAATATAGGTTTATTTTTCCTCAAGATGCCCTCAAGAGTTTAATAAAGAGAGAAAATAGACATATGTGAACCCAGAGCAGAACTGACATTCTATGACCAAATGGAAGAACCTTGTCCTATCACAGTTGTTTATAAGCTCTAAGAATAATTACGAGCCTAAATCTTAGTACAGTACCTTGAATGATTTTGTTACTTTTAAAATCAAAATACTTATTTTGTATTAAAAAGAAAAACCATTAAAAAATTTTTATGTAGTATTTTCCATGCTTTATTCCTGCTGTCTTAAAGAAGAAACTATAACTCTTCCTATGAAATGAGATGATTTTTGCATTTAAGAGGACTATATTTTTCCTTAAGTTCTCAGTGTTATTAACATTACTTGTTTGCCCTACCCTAAAATTCTGGATTTCCTGAACATTTTGCAAGTTGGTCTCCATGGCTTCCACCTAGTGGAAGGGTCATTAGACCCTACTAAGGACAGCCATAAATAACCTTCAACCTTGTTTTTTCTAGTGTAATCTAAAGTCAATTTCTTAATAGTTTTTTAAATGAAATAAGAAACATCTGTGCCCTGACAAATGATAAGAACCATACTTAAATTTAATACAATGCAACAAAAGTACATCAAACATGTTCACATATGGCACATGTGTGTATATTGAGTTGGAATGAACATAGGGACTCAAATACAAATAAACATAATTGATAATTTTCTTACCCCAACCCTTTCATTTTAATCACAGAAGTTTTGATACATACATGAAACACATACCTAAGTTATGAAGCATAACAAATTTGGCACTCATCTACCCACCACTCGATTACTATAATAATACCAAAATCTGTGCATCCAACTGTGAGTTCCTTCCCTATCCATTCCCATCCTTCTAATCCCCTATCAAACCAGCCCTCTCTTGATTCTATTTACTTTTTGTGTCTCATTCCCAGCCCATATTTCCAGAGCCTTGAAAATTAAATGAAACTCGCCAGCTTTGCATAGGTAATACATTCTCCCAACACCTGGAATAAGGTGGCACGTTTAAATAAAGAAAAGGGATGCCTCCTTCTCTCAAATTTTCAAAGAGGGGCATAATCTCAGCAGTGCCCATATGCGTGTGGCAGAAGCTTCAGCACTGGGCTGAGGAGCAACTCATATCCTTGCATGAAGGCTATACATCAGGAAGGGCAAGTGCATAGCCCTGCCCCTTAGCCTTCTGGACAAGTCCAGCACTGTCCAACAGAAATACAATGCAAACTACACATTAATATTTAAATGAAATTTAAAATTCAGTTCCTCAGTCAAACTAGCTACACTTCAACGGCTCGAGTCACATGTCGCCAGTGGCCCCCGTACGTGACATTGCATTCCAGACGCTTCTGTAGAAGATGTTAGTCATTGTCTTCATAAACATTATGACTGAGGCTTACAGACATGTCACACAGCTGCACAATACTTCATGGACCCCACTATCTTAAACGTTGAGGAGACACGGCTTTGGGAAAGATCCCCAGTGTTCTCCTTACTTGCTGCAAGTAATAAATACTTCCTTCTCCTGATCTTTGTCTTGGTTGTGTCTTTTGACTTGACACCCACTAAAAGAACACAGTTTGCAGGTGACAAATTTTGATGACTCTGGTGGGACCTCTCACCTAACCCCTTTGTGTTGTTCCAGCTCCCAAGAGGCAACGCAGTGGGCTGCAGCAGTTCACCCAGGCGAATTTGTCTATGTTGCTGGGGGATCTAAGGGGAAGGGCATAGGGGAATCCCTCTTGGTGCCTGATTTTTCAGGTCTATGCACCTCAACTTGGTGAATGGGCTCAGAAGCTGCTCTGGACTTCTTGATCTGGAGAGTCCCTTTGGAGAGGTGAGAGGTGTTTATCCCACAAATCAGCTTCAGGGTTCTGTCCCCATCTCAACGGGGGAGAAGAAATGACTCAAGAACTGCACAGTTAATCTGGTCTGGCCAGGTTGGCTCTGAGAGTCCAAGGGATTGCAAGACATTCCTCTCTTCTACAGTCTTAGAGGTCAGGTCAGAGTCTGAGGGACTGTGAGACACCCCCATGTTGCTCGAAGAGTCTAAGGGATTGTGAGACAAAGAAGTTGATTTGTGCCATTCTTTGGCCATTGAATAAAGCTTGTGCTGTTCCAGTCTCAGCACTGGTTTTGTTATTGGCTGTGCGAATCTGAGCCGAAAAGAACCTCCCTGGGGTCTTGGGGGGCTAGGGGTCTCGGCCTGAACTAGGACACTGGTGTGGCTCCAGGTGACCAATTTGATAACAAATCCAGCCAGAGGGCTCTCTGACTCAAGGCCAACAGGTGGCCAGCCAAAAGAACAGGGTGATTTAGCCCTTGCCCTTGACCTCTGAGTCAACAAGCCCTACTGGAATAAGTCTGAGATCTGAAAACAGCCAAGCATCTGATCTGGGAGCACTCATCTGGAAAGACAAACCCTCCCAAATATCCTTGATTGGGATGCCTGTCATGGATCAGGGTACTGTCCTGGGGATGCCCAACACGGGGTCACTGGCTTTACCTGGCCAGAAATGCCAGGTGAGTGAGGAGCTGGACAAACTCCGTTCTAGCAGAGGGCTAAGTGAGTGAGGAGTTGGGCTGGACAAAGTCCTCTGGAGGCCACCATACAGGAAGATCACCTCTTTGTTTCTTGTGTCTTTAGTTTAAATTTCTGTCATTGGTTTGTTTCAAGTCTTCATCAGTGAATTTGGAAGGATCTTGGTTTTATGTGGTTTTGTTTGTCCAGCTGCTCTTGTGAGTCTCTGCCACAATTGTGGGCACAGGTCAAGCACTGAAGACCCATCAGGGTGCTCACCACTTGGAGAGTCCCATGAAAGTATAAGTTGGTCATGGATCAGGGCAGACTGGCTCTAGTTTCCCTGCTGACCTGAAGCATGCGTCCATGCAACCAGGAACATGTAAATCATCCATAGTCACAATCCCTGAAGCACTCTCACCTTCAGGATATAATCAGGAGGCCAAGAGCATGTCTTTAGTGTTAATCTGTCTCTCATCTTGATCAGTGAGCTTGGATCTGTGTATATGTCTTTTTCGGGTCCGCCCTTCCCTGTCATTTCCCACCATTGGTCTCCGGGAACCTCTCTCAGAGACAGGAACCCCTAAGAAATACGGTTCTAGGCTAAGCTCAGGAAATTCAGTTTTGGTTCCCCAGGAGATCTGAGGACCCACAAGTAGCTCAGAACCTTTGGGTCCTTGTCATTGAGTTGTCGAGAACTCAAACTGGGTCATCTGAGACTTGAGCTGAGTCACCTCGGGACAGGTAAATAGATCTTTGACACTCCAAATCAGTCTCACCTTGAGATGTAAATGTTCTATGAGGGCTCTCAGAAACACTTAGCTAGACCACCTGTAATTCCTGAGACTGAGAGGGAGAAGGGGGAAGAGAACTTAAAAAATTTTTTTAACTTATTCCAACCACTATAAACCAATGTGTTTTATATTATAATACCTGGTTCATAACTAAGTTTAAAATGGGGCTAGGAGATCTCTGGTTCCATCTGTTTTTACATAAAAAGTAACTTGTAGATGAGCTATATTTAATTGGCCTAAAGAAAAGTAAGTGCTTACAAGTTAAATATTTCTAAATATAAAGAAAACTGGCCAAAATAAATTTCAGGGTCATGTGATCTAGGACTAATCCTTAATGAGCAAAAACAAGCTTGTTTGTTCGTTTAATTAATATAGACATGTCTTTAGAGTCATCAGTATTAAGAATAATACTTTCATTATACTGAGAGTCAAATTTGTCAGCAAGGAAAAGAACTTGGTATAATGAAATCTTAAATAAATTAAATGTACATGAGATAAGAGGTTTCTTTAGTTGAACTTAAAAAAATTGCATTTTGGGAATGTTTATCTAAAATAGTCTCTCCTGATTTTGGCAACTTGAAAATTTAGTTTTGCTATATTAAATTAAATGATAGGAATTATTGACCATCCAGGTTATTTCAAATAAAATAAAACACTGGAACACTACTTGCTAAACAGGTCTAAGTTTATCTACTTTTGTCTTCTTATGAGGGGAAACTAAAGATGTTTGGGTTTCTTAAAGACATGTAGCACATTGAGGCAAAGAAATTCTGCTATGAGAAGACCTTCAAGGTGGCAGAGGAATAAGACATGGAGATCACCTTCCTCCCCACAAATACATCAAAAATACATGTACACATGGAACAACTCCTACAGAACACCTACTGAACGCTGGCAGAAGACCTCAGACTTCCCCAAAGGCAAGAAAATCCCCACATACCTGGGTAGGGCAAAAGAGAAAAGAAAAAACAGAGACAAAAGAATAGGGATGGGACCTGTGCCTCTGAGAGGGAGCTGTGAAAGAAAAAACGTTCCCACACACTAGGAAGCCCATTCACTGGTGGGGACGAGGGGTGGGCAGTGGGGAAGATTTGGAGCCACACCACAGAGGAGAGTGCAGCAACAGGGGTGCAGAGAGCAAAGTGGAGAGATTCCCACACAGAGGATCACTGCCGACCAGCACTCATTAGCCTGAGATGTTTGTCTGCTCATCCACCGGGGTGAGTGGGGCCTGAGAGCTGAGGCTCGGTCTTTGGCAGTCAGACCCCAAGGAGAGGACGGGGGTTGGCTGCGTGAAGACAGCGTGAAGGGGGTTAGGGCACCACAGCTAGCCTGGAGGGAGTCCGGGAAAAAGTCTGGACCTGCTGGAGATGCAAGAGGCCATTGTTTTGGGGCGCGCAAGGTGAGGGGATTCCTACTCTGTGTGCCCATAGACGACAAAGCACGGCATAAGTGAACTCCAGAGGTGGGCATGAGCCGTAGCTATCAGCTCAGACCCCAGAGACATGTATTGACCGCTACTGCTGTCACTGCTGCCACCAAGAATCCTGTGTGCAAGTGCAGGTCACTAC